GGGGGGGGGGGGGGGGGGGGGGGGGGGGGGGGGGGGAGAAACGCGGGGGATAACATTAGAGCGAAATATGCATAGAAACAACCGTTAAATATTCTCCCAAAATGCAGGAAATTCCTATTCCAGGAGTCTAGATTTCAAATTTTTTCCAAGGGAGAATTCTCCCCCAGACTACCCTTACCTATTTAAGTACTGAATATTTTTTCCCATTTTAAGTCTATATCTGGAAAAAGTCTTCAAATGTCATTTTGAATGATCTATAATCTGATAGATTTACAAAGTTTTGCAGTAAATAGCAAGTGCTATATTAAAGTAAAATATGATTTTTTGTATGGCTATCATTTTGATGATGATAGCAAAACAGGTTCATCGTGATCAACTTTTTCACTGTCAGTGTTGCCGGATATGATGTCATTAGATAAATCTTAGATGAATTTAAAAATAGTTTTCTGATGACGTGAAAAAGTTTATAAAGATGGGTTTTTTGCTATAAAAATATATTAAATTTCTTCTTAGGGCTCCAGTTGATGGCAGTAGTTTTTACTATACTGATTGGTACTACGTACCACTGATACCAAAAATCATATTTAGGACGGGTTAATGGCACTTTGTTAGTAAAACTTTTCATATTTTTGCAATAAATATATTAGTTACATTTTTATTTACATTTTCTTAATTTAGTTCCACACGAGTTACTGAGAAAAAATTCCATCCAAATTTATAAATAGTTCGGAACATTCAAATGAGATCGAATACGATCATATAATTATTTATATATATTTATTTATTATAGTTAAATTTTTTAATATCAAACAATAGAATGTCATCTGGAAATGATTGCAATTCTTTAATAGAAACGAAATGTAGATTTTTCCCAACCCAAAACGCGCTTTTCTTTTTAGTTTTGCTGGCAGGATGATCCAGGAGAACGCAAGCTTGAATCTCTTCCTCCTCAGGATGGTAGCAAAGTCTACGCCTTCTTTTGGCACTGTTAGTTTGCGCCTCAAATACAAAGACATTGAACAATCTCATCATTATTCCTCAGCAAAACCTGAGCTGTCAAGTTCAGATGATTAAAAATCTGGGGTCAGTTGCTCAAAGCTGGATTTGCGCTCCAGTCCCTAAATCAAAATTTAACCTGCTGTTTTAGTTTCTGTATTTCTGCACATCTGTTTGTTTCAAAACTTCAGAAAAGAAAACTCTCATTATCCACACAATTTTTCATCCAGGGTGCTGAAGGACGTGAGATTTTAGTCCGTTGGAGAGGATTGTTATCAAGACCACTAGCCTAAGTTAGAGGTCGATAGTTTATAAATTAATCCACATATTTGGGATGGGGTAACTTCATGAAATTCAAAAACTTCATTACACTATATGGAATGTTATAGAAACCGCACCAGTTGTTGAAATTTGCGCTGCTAACTTAGGTCTGATTTCAGTAAAGTGTTTATTGAAACATTGCTAATAGCTACTGCAGTCTGCAGGGTCAGTAATTTCGGTTCCGTCCCGCAAAATTTTTGGTGGATACCATTCCAAATTTCCTTAGTCCAGCCTACGTTGTTTTGGAACAAAGAGTTATAATTTTTTCCAAACTTTCCAAGCATTTATAGGATCATCTAAGGAAACCATGTACTGCCATGGAATAGAATCAATGTTATGCTTGAATAAAGCAGGGACGTCGCGAAGCCATAGTGGGG